TAGAATTTTGGGAAAGCTAGATGTGATTGGCTTCTGGTGATTATTGAACAGCAATCCTAAGGTACACACTTATTTTTAGCATCTCACAGATAATTCATACATGATGGTAAAAAGGCAGAAATATTAAAGTCGCTCTTTACATGCTAAAACATACAATTGTGATCCTCCTGAGTGATAAGAACAAATGGAGCGTGCCCTATGGTAATTAAATAATGACATCATGAAAATGAATGGGTTAAGGAACAAATCATAGAAACAGCAAATTATCATTATCTTAAAGAGACAGAGGACAATGAGATAACAGAACACAATTTATGGAATGCAGCCAAAGCAATTCTTGGAGGAAATTATATATTTCTGAACACATATGAACAAATTGGCAGGGGGATCTATCTAATCATTTAACAGGCAATCTAATAAATGAATTAATGAACTTGTCCCCTTCCAGGTGACTGTGCCCTGGGGCCTACTCTTCTGATAGGTGAGTCTTTGGCTGAGATCACCATTTCCTGAGGAGCCTTAGTCGGGCTACTCACTTCACTCCTCGCTCACCTTGCTGTACAGGCTTCCCTACCTCTCCACTACATACCGTGAATCCCTGAGCTACTGCCCTTCACCCTCCCCATCCCTTACAGCTCTCCTTCGTGTTTTGTCTTCCCCTACATAACCTTCTTGAGAGCAGAAAATGTCTTATGTCCTCTGTTCTTAGCACAGTGCCTGGCACACAGTAAACATTTAATATGTGTATAAATGTTCTCTCCTTTCTCCTCTCTTCTCTCTCTCTCTCTCTCTCTCTCTCATCAATAATACCAAACCATGGACAAAAGTAGAAAATTTAGAGAAATCAAAAGAGGAATAAAAAGTTGCAAACAAAAACTCTATTGGACTAATAAAAAAGATAAATAGCTGTTTGTTTTTAAAGACCTACAAAAGAAGCAAACCATTAGCTGATTTGATAAAAAGAGGAGGAAAACTTAAAGATCGATTTCCCAATAATGAGGAAACAATCCTCACAGCTAATAGGGAGGAACTAGGGAAAATTATTAGACATGACTACGACAATTATATTAAACCATAACACATCTGAAAACCTAAATGAAATGCATAAATATTTGGGAGAAAAGCCAGAATTATACTCATTTCCCTCCAAATCCATCCTTTCTCTAGACTGACCCATTTCTGTTTGTGGCACCTCCGTCCTTCTGTAAACCAGGTCTCAGCCTTGACTCTTCCCTCTCTCAACTCCTACCTCTTCCCAGTTGCCAAGTCTTGTTAACCCGCTGTCCACCATATTGCTCATATCCATCCCCTTCTGTCCACTCACCCTGCTCTTCCCATAGTTCATGTCCTCCTCGGACCATTTCGGCAGCCTTCTAGGTCGTCTTTAGTGTGTCCAGTCCTCCTTTCACACAGATGCCAAACTGATAGGACTGAAACAGAGACCTGACTTGGCTTCAAATTCCTCAGCAGCTCCCCTTGCCCCAGGGTGAACTGCAGATCCTCTGTCTGAGTCTCATTCCCACTTGTCCTTCTGGTCTGGCTTCATACAGATTCCCTTGACACACTCTCTGTTTAAGTCCAGCTGGTCTGCTAGTGCATGGTCCTCCTTCACGCCTGGAGCACAACCTTGCCTCACCTTTGGCTCCTGGACCCCAGCTCAGGGGCCATCTCTGTATGGGGCCTTTCTTTCTCCTGTTAGTAGTGTTCTTGCCCTCACACAGTTACTTTGTATTACTTGGTGTGTACTTTGTATTTCTTATCTGTGTAGGAGAATCCTACTAGCAGATTGAATACTCCCTGGGGGCAATGACTTTTTTTTTTTTTGTCTTTGTATGTACCTTAAATACACTAGGTGCTATTAAGCTAATAATGTTTGTTGAATGAAATAAAAAAAGTACAAAACCTCAAATTAATAAAAAGAGGGAAAAGAATCTAAATGATCCATCTCAGAAAAAGAAATCAAGGAAGATATAGATGAATTCCCAAAGAAAAAATCTCCTTGTCCAGATGCATTTACAAATGAATTCAATTAAACACTTAAAGAGCCACTAATCCCTATGTAACATAAGCTGCTCATAGAAATAGAGAAAGAAGCACTTTATCAGACTCCTTTTCTGAGACAAATATGATCCTGATGCACAAACTTGGTAGTGATAGAACAGAGAAAGAAATCTTTAGACTAATATTACTAATGAATATTGATACTAAAGTAGCAAATAAGTCATTAGCAAAAGGGTATGGCTACATATTAAAAATATTCATTATAAACACATTACCTTTGTAATTAAATAATCATGAATGCCCAATACTGACTGTGGAACAGTAGAAAGAGTGTTCCATGAGAGCATTCTTGATGAGAGAACATATTTCAAATCCAAGATTACTACTTGTATAACCTTGAGAAAGTCAGTTAACTTTGCTGGGCTTCATTTTCTTGTGTAAAATGTAGAGTTTATAGTTAGATAACTTCTAATGTCCCTTCCAATTGTAAATGTTTGAAACACTTAAGAAAGCAATACAATACTTAATCATTACTGATAAGAATGGAAATCACACAACTATATCAATAGATACAGAAAAAGGATGACAACAGTCAATACTCTTTATGTCAAATCCAGTCCACCCTCCACTCAGCTACCAAAGTGATCTTTCTAAAGCACAGATCTGACCATGTCAGTATGCTCCTCAAAAAATCCATTGGCTCCCTAGTACTGCCAGGACCCAATGAGATTCCTCTGTCTGGCTTTTAAAGTCATCACAAGCTGGCTTCTTCCTCCTTTCCAGTTTCTTGTATTTTACTGCTCTGCACATTCCTGAACCTAATATTCTGTCTCCTAACTACCTGCTTTGTCTCTGGCTATCTCTCACGGCTAGAAACCTTTCCCTTCTTCCTTCTGCCTTTGAGCTTCCCTGAATTACTTCAAGCCTAGGTAAAATCCCACCTTCTTCAGGAAGCGTTTCTCACTCTTCTTACCCCATGGATGCCTTCCCTGTGAGATGACATGCCATCAATCCTGTATAGTTATCTCCCCCATCATAATGTGAGCTTTAGTGTTTCCATGAAGGAATTTCTTCCTGGTATTTCTTGGGAAATTTATATGTTTTTCTAACTCCCAAATCCCACTGAAAAAAAAATGTCAGGAAATTGGATAAGTCTTCTGTGAGAATTGAAGGTTAACAATAAACATTGCTGGTTTGAAGGAATCCATTGATACTAAGGCAAAAGCAAAAGCAGGAAACAGTGATATATAGAGGATTCATATGATCCAACTTCACATCTCCCAGTAAGGTGAACAACGCTACACAGAATAGTATGTTAAAATGGCCAATTTAAGGACTTACTTTGCTTCCAAAACTTGTTACTTCTTGGAACGCTATTCATAGGATTTGTATAAAGTATACTATCCACGTCTACTTATTAATATTTATTTTGTTTGCAAGAATGACTCACCAACAGAGAGGGCTTACTTATTCCATCCAGTAATCATTGCTGGCATTTTCTACTGTTTGATTATTTGCTATAGGCTACAATTTTTTGTAAATATGATTAAAATTAATATTTCTTATTAAACACTGTTTAGACAACCATAACAGTGGATAAAGAGTATGAAGGATCTTGGAAGTGTTTTATGAAAAATAAAGGAAATCAGTCAGCTCATTGCCAGATATGTTTTAAATCATTGTCACAATATAGTGACTCATAATAATAAGCCATGCATTTATATTAAATATTTTCAGAAACTCTCTGAAATTTTTATTATAACCCTACCACAGAAAAATGATTCATTATTTATTATTATGGTCACTCATTATTATTTAAAAACATGTAAATAAAATATTATAAAAAAATAAAATAATATGATTTTGGCAACTCCCAGGAATTCTGATTTCTCGCTCTCCAATCTTGAAGATTAATATCTGTTGAGAATTGCAAACACTAGTGAACTCCTTGGGGGGCAGGGACCTTTTTTTTTGCTCTCTCTGTATTCTTTGTATTTATTACAGTGTCTGCACCATAGAAAGTGCTTAATAAATGGTTGTTGACTAACTGGGAAAAAAAAAAGAGTAAAGGAACTTAGATATGATCGAAAGCATTTATCTAAAACGAAGACCTGGCTTTGTTTGCAACAGAGAAACAGGAGAAGCCTCTCCATAATATCAGGATGAAGCAAAAAAACAACAATAACCAAAAAAGCCAAAAAAAAAAAAGAAACCAAAAAAAAAACCAAAAAAAACCCCAAAAAAAACCAAAAAAAGAATCTGTGCTCTCCATTCTTTTTGAACAATAGTGATAGCAAAGCTGAATAGATCAATGAGATAAGCAAGAGAAATGAAGGAGCAAGTGTTGGCCTAGAAGATGCAAAGTTCTCTTTAGGTATCTGTGGATGGCTTAGTGAACGATTCAGCCTGAGAATTCCAGAGAATCACTAACCCCACCCCCTCCTGAGGCCAAGAATTGCTCCAGTAAAGTCCCAGGATACAAAAGAAATCTTCAACAATGTCAGCTTTCTGTACATTGCAAACAGAGAAAAGAAAGAAAGGGAATTTCCCTTAAATCAACAAAATTCACCAAACATTTGACAATAACCTATTAAGATAGAAGAGACTGGAGTCATTCACCTCCAGCTGCTCTCCAGACTTTCTCTACCATTGCCCCAACCAGGCTCTGGCTGCCTTGCTCCCTGCCCCTTCCCCCCTAGCCTGCCTCCCTCCCCTTTTAGGGGTTGTATTTCCTCACTAGAACATAAGCTCCTCGAGAACAGGGACTGTCTTTCTTTCAGCTTGTATTTGCCTCCCCAGTGCTTGGCACAGTATCAGGCACATAGTAAACGTGTATTCTTGTCGCTGTAGTAAATAGAACCGCAAACTACCCTCCAGATGTGGAGGAATAAAAGGTCAAGAATATCAAGTGAAATAATGGAAAAAAGGAGGAATGGAATTTGACATGGCAGACATCAGCTCTATTACCAACCAGTGATTACCCACATTTTCTTGTACTGGATAAACAACAGCTGAGGAAATTACTGAAGTAGATTAGAGGAGCAAGGCCTAGCTAGACACAGACACTACAACAAGCCAGGGTTTGGTAAACCCAAGGACACAAACTCTGAGGTACACAAACACCCCGTTTGACAACAACATCTGGGAAAGCTGGGAAGCACTTGAGTGGAAAAGAGCTTGAGATCAACGTCTTACACCAGAGGCAGCTGAGACCTGAAGGCCTCCCTGGTGCCCTCCCCGGAGGAAAATGTTTATTCCACGAAAGAAATAAAAGTACAGAAAATATCACATTTTAAAATCGTCAGTATGTGACCCGCAGGCATCCTTATGTACTAGTCTGACACCATCGTTTTCCTCCATATACCAGCGTAACTTTCAAATGGATAAACAATCCATAAAATGTTACCACAACAAAATTCTTATAGAAGAATGGTAGATATTATTATTTTATTATTACCTATAAGCAGGGTAAGATTTTTTTAAAAACCATACCGGGTAGAAGCAATTATAAAAGGTAAAATCAATTCCCTCTATCTAATTTATAAGCATTTGCACAAATTAAATCACCATAAATAAATTAAATGAAAAAAAACCTATCAAATGATAAAATATTTGCATGCAGTTTCTCTAATAAAATATTATTGAAATAATAAGTTGAAATAAATAATATATTGAAATAAAAGTTCTATAGGGGATTGACACAAATCTATAAGAGCAAGAGCCTTTCACCAATAATCCTGACCCCAAAATAGGAAGTTTTCAAAAGAAGAAATATCAACTATCAACAATCAAACTATCAACAACCATGTGAAAAATTATCCAATATCTTCACAGAGATACACATTGACTCATTTACATCAAAACAGCAAAGATGGAAATGACTACAAATCCAGCACTGGAGGTGCTGTGGGAAGACAGGTGCGCCAACTCACTGCTGGGTGAAACTTTGAATTAGTCCAATCGTTCACTAAGCCATCTGCAGATACCTGAAGAGAACTTCACATCTTCTAGGCCAACACTTGTGCCTTCATTTCTATTGCTTGTCTCATTGGTCTACTCAGCCTTGCTATTACTGTGTTCAAAAAGAATGGAGAGCACGGATTCTTTTTTTTTTTTTTAACTTCATCCTGATATTATGGAGAGGCTTCTCCTGTTTCTCCATTGCAAACAAAGCCAGCTCTTCATTTTAGATAAATGCTTTTGATCATATCTAAGGTCCTTTACTCCTTTTTTTTTTTTAGTTAGTCAACAACAATTTATTAAGCACTTTCTATGGTGCAGAGACTGTAATAAATACAAACACAGTTACGTAAAAAAAAAGTTATTAAGTTGTTCACATCCTTTCAACTAGAGATTATGCTCCAAGGAAATTATTAATAGCCTGTTTTTTTTTCTTTTCTTTTCTTTTTTTTTTTGCGAGGCAATGGGGTGAAATGATTTGCCCAGGGTCACACAGCTAGTAAATGTCAAGTGTCTGAGGCCAGATTTGAACTCAGGTCTTCCTGAATCCAGGGCTGGTTCTCTATCCACTGCACCATCTAGCTGCTCCTGGAAGTTATTAATAGCAAGAAAAGACCCATAGGTACAAAAACATGAATGGGAGAAGGGACTAAAGACCAGTGGATAAACATCTAGCAGACAGTACCTAGAATGGAGTAAGCGATTCAAGGACATCACCAGAAAATGTCTGTGACCCTCCAACATAGAGCCTGTGATGTTCCCTCCCCAATGATACCCCGGCCATACATGTTCTCTAAACAGATGTCTCTCGATATGTGTTTTCTAGGTGCTTCCCCTCTTCCTACTAATGGTATATCAATGTATGGGAGAGCGTGTCCCAGGTTGATGAGAAAATGCTCTTTTGACAATTTCCCTCTGCGCCAGTTCATTAAATGCCTTTGCTTTGAATTAATTCTATCCTAGGACTGATGTGTAAATATAAACACACTGGTAGGGGCTTCTCCACGATGGTTTTGAGTGAATGTGGACTCCCAGAATTTCTTGGATCGGGGTAGCTTCTCAGGCAGAGTCGTATGAGAGAGGGTCCCCCGAGGGTACATTGGGATAGTCTTAATAGGGCAGGGCTTAAAAGCTGGAAGCCTCCATTTGCTGCTGCGTTCTCCCTCCCCTCAGGCTCAAGCCAGACCTGTTCACAGCAGCGTCTTACACAGTAAATTCAGGAACATGCAATGCTTACAGGGTCTCTTTTCACGAGGTCAGGGTTGGGTACCACCGCAATCAGGTGGACAATTGTGAACAGAGAGTTCAGCACGTAAGAGAAGAACAGGTTCTTATGCAGTGTGGTCCTCTGGCAGCTGAGGCTTCTGAAAGACAGACAACATGGGGGTCGAGTCAGTGTCTGGGAGCTGAAGTCAGAGCATGCTGGCCCTCGCCTAACCTGCAGATGTCTGGGCTCCTTGTGGGGTTTCCCAGTGCTGATGGTGGAATCTGAATAGCACAGGGTGCTGAGAAGGAAAGAATCCAGCTTTGCTAATCAGCAGAGCCAGATTTAAGGCACAGCTTTTTCATTGACCGTGTAGTCCTGGGGAAGAATGAAGACTATAGGTGTCCAGGGGCAGCTAGCTGGTGCAGTGGGTAGACCACCAGCCCTGAAGTCAGTGAGTTCAAATCCGGCCTCAGACTAAACACTTGACACGTACTAGCTGTGTGACCTTGGACAAGTCACTTAACCCCAAATGCCTCACTAAAAAAAACAAAACAAAACAAAAGACTATACGTGTCCTGCCCCTTTCCCGAGCCTGTGGTTGAGGGTCCATAGAAGCCGAGGATTGAACCCCTCCCGCTCTCCACCAGAAAGCTCTGATGCCCTGCTGACATGCACATGAATAGGGGGCAGCTAGGTGGCGCAGTGGATAGAGCACCTGGAGTCAGGAGGACCTGAGTTCTAAGCTGGCCTCAGACACATAACACTCACTAGCGGTGTGACTTTGGGCAAGTCACTTAACCCTAATTGCCTCACCAACAACAACAAAAAAAAAATGCACAGGAACAGCTCAAGCTCTGAGCCCCAACCCTGCTTGCTTCAGAAATGAAAGATGATGAAACAAAGCATGAAATAAATAACGAAATAAATACCCATGAAATGAATCAGGAAGGTAACTTGAACAAAGAAGTTGCCAGAGCATGAGGGCAGTTCATTTTTTGGCAGCCAGCACTCCCTTCCTGAGTGTGTGTGTGTGTGTGTGTGTGTGTATGTGTGTGTATGTGTGTGTGTGTGCACACATGGGCAAGCACACCTTCTGTGTCATTGTGCATATCTATGTATAGTGTGATAACCTGAGTTCTCTCTAATTAGAGGCCACATTCCAGAAATGGAACCCCTCTAATAGGGAAAAAAAAAGTCCAGACATATAGCCATTATAGACTATGTGAGCTTTCTATGATCTAGGTGTGTGTGTGTGCATGCGCACATACAAGTGCACACACATGTTTGAGGAGGGGCCTTCTGAGGGTTCTCATCCCAGGAGAAAAGGGGCCTGGATGCTAAATAGTCTGAGGTCCGAAGTGGAGGGGTCCATCTTCCTAAAGACCAGAGACACTTCATCCATCTGGATGGGAGATTTTATTTAGGTAAAGCCACCAGCAAAGGGGAGTGGCTCCCTCCCTCCCCCACCCTCAGAATTTCTCAGAGGTTTCACTATGATGATGTTGGCTTTATAGATAAGGAAACTGAGTCTGTGGGGGATTAGGAGAGTTGCTTGGGGGTTTCAGAGTTAGTGTCTAAGGCAGGATTCCAATTCAGATTTTGGCTCCAAGCCCAGAGCTCTAACCACTATTCTCTTCTAGCTGCCCTAAAAATAAGGAGTGCCCACCTCAAGCCTGGGTCTGTCATTCCCAGAGAGAGGCTGGAAGCTCATTCTGGAAAAACTGAACCCCTGAGGAGTCTTGCCCTGCCAAGCCCATTGGTTGGAGGCGGCTTGAAACTTCGACCTGGCGCCCAGCCCAGACAAGACAGCTGGTCTGGGGCCAGAACAGAACACCACTGGGACTTGAGCTGGCCGAGATTGTCAGACACTTGGTGTCCAGAAACAGGATTCTAAAGAAGAGCCTTCTGTATCTTGGAAATGCACCGTTAGGGAGTTCTGCTAAGCCTTCTTTCCTCCTTACTTGCTTCAGGTGCAGCTGGGGTGTGACACAAAAGGTGTGAAGCCTGGAGGCGATGGGCACTCCCCCACCCGGGCAGCGGTGGAAGTGTGAATGCCACGTCTGGCCTCTGACTGGGAAGAGCTATTTCCGTTAGGGCTCCCGAGGACCTGTGGATCACAGGCCCGCCCCAAAGACAGACTTGGCAGGAGCCAACCCCGCCTTGTACGGATGGGGAACCCCAGGCCCAGGGAAGTGAACCTGCCCAGATTTGCACAGCTCGCAAGGGGTGAGGCTGGCATTTGAACCAGGTGTGCTTACCACTGTCTCCAGGCATTCACGTGGAGAGTCCTTTGGACCATTCTTGGGTGCTTATTTTAATTTTCTCATTTCAGGGATCCTGCCACCCCTCCAGACTTTTTATGGGGCCGAGCCAATGAAAAGGAAGGAGGAAAAGCCTCCACTCCCAACCACAGATCACACTGGGTGGGAGGAGATCTGGGGAGCAAGAATTCAGTATGTGTCTGACTCAGCCAGACCCTGGCACCCCAAGCTCCATGGATTTTTCCCTTGGGAAGCCCTTTCCCAGATCAGACCTGTCAATTAGCAGCAGTTTGGCTCCAAAGGAGGAGAGAGTGAGTGGGAAGACGCAGGTGCAGGGTAAAGGAAAGGACCGTGGCTCCCACGGTGCACTGGGAGCTTGGGGAGGAAGGTGGGCGAGGGGGAAGCTGAGAGGCTGCGGACAAACACCCCCGTCCATCCTCAGAGCGGAGCGCCCCGCTCCCAGGGCCGTGGCAGGATCAAATGAGGGCCTAATTACCAAGTGTTTCCGCACAGCGCCTGCCACAGAGTAAGCACTCTATCAATGTTATTGATTGTCGTTATCGTGGGCAATAGATGAGGCTTCCTGCTGTGCTGCGCTCTGGCCAGGCAGATCATTTCTGGAACCAAAAGCGTTCCTCTCTGTGCCCCTGCTGCTGAGGGCTCGCAAGGCAGCTGGGCAAGCCCCTCCTTCCTCACAAGCCCAGGCCGCCTAGAGCTCCTCCTCCTTGGGAAGCAAACAGCTATGACCTCACCCTGGGAGCCAGCCCTGCTAGGACCAGCACAAATCGCCAGCATCTGGAGGAAAGCTCAGGATGCTCTGACAAGAGCTGAGCTTCTCCCAGTCCTGGCCATTGTCACGGATGTCAGGGTCTTTCCACCCGCATTTTGTTCCCATCTCAATGCCAGGCTCCCCTAAAGTACTGTGGAGCAGAGAGAGAGAGAGGGTGAGAGAGCAGGGGCTGGTGACAGCTGGGGCGCACATCACCGTGGTGCTGGGCAAACACTTGGCCTCAGGATTTCTGATGGGAGGTATCTGGCAATGAGCTGAGACCTGATGGCAGCCATTTCATGGTGGAGCCTTCTGCAGCCCCCACCAGCTGATAGATGAAAACGCCGTTTTCATTTTCCAGTAATGAAGGATACAGTTGCAGATCAGAAGATAGTCTGTCCCTCGAGTGGGGCGATGCCTGCTTCCCACCTTTGATGTTTCCTGCCTGTATGACCTTGGACAAGTCTCGTCCCCTCCATGGGCCCCCATGTCTTCACCTGTAATTGGATTAGGTGTCCCTTCAGGTCCCTTCTAGCTTTAGAGTCCTGTACTTCTTTGATGCTTGCCTGTGATGATGTTTTTGCAGACTGGTGGACATGCCAGCTCCCCCAAAACATGCAGAAACATGTAACACACACCATATACAGTGGAAAATAAAGTTGTTTTCAGTTGTGTCTGACCCTCCATGGCCCCATTTGGTGTTTTCTTGGCTGAGATACTGCAGTGGTTAGCAATTACCTTCTCCAGCTCATTTGACAGAAAAGGAACTGAGGCAAACAGGAGTTAAGTGACTTGCCCACGGTCACTCAGTAATCCCGTAAGTGTCTGAGGCCAGATTTGAACTCGGGAAGATGAGTCTTCCTGACTCAAGGCCGGTGCTCTGTGCACTTTGGCGCCACCTAGCCATCCTATAATGCTTACAGGGTCACATGAATCGCAACATGTCCATGGCCTCATACGATGAATGTAACGATATGTTACCACCTCGTGTCTACAATGTAACAACCTGAGGTGCAGCGCCATCTATCCCTCCCGTCAGGTCACAGGCTCAGCGAGGGGCTCATAGGCATTTCATGGCCTAGGGAGTGCCAGCCCTGCTAGGAGTCCTTCCCCCCTCCTGTGTCTCCAAGGCAGCTCTCTGGCCACATGGACCTTGTGAACGCAGCCAGCTGTGACCTAGGAGCTGTCCTAAATCCCTTGGAGCAGGCTTTTCAAGACATCGTGGGGGCCAGGGAGGGGCAGGGAACCTGAAAAGTCAAACAGCCTGGTGTGGCGGGAGGACAGACTTGCAGAATTGGAAGGGACCTCATTCAGAGGCACCTGATTCAACTGGGACCCTAAATGCATACCTCCTGGACCCCCTCCCCACAACAAATGGTGGGCTGGCCTCCCCTTGAAGGGCTCCAGTGAGAGGGAGGTCACCCCTCCTTCCAGGGGGCCCAGTCTTTAGGATGACTCATTGTTGGAGTTTTTCCTTGCCCTGAACCTCAGTTTGTTTCTCTGCACCTCCCTTCTCCCCATGCCTCTACAGCCCCAGTTCTGCCCTCGGCACCCAAGGAGAGCTAGCCTAGCACCCCTTGCCCGCCACACCTGGAAGTCAGAAGTTGGCTCTTATGTCCAGCCCAGCACTATGATTCTCTGTGCAGGCTGAGCATTATTCCTGCTTTCTGCTAGGACTCAGATGCTAAGATTCCCAGGGAGTGGTTTAGTCGGTCAAAAATCAAGCCTTTGTTACTAGCTTGCTCTGTGCCAAGCACTGAGATCTGCTCTTTCCTGGTCACCTGCCCTTAGGAATTGTCTGGCTTTTCGATGGCCTTTCTGGACCAGGATGGCCCAGGCTGACCAAGCCCTCCAGCTGGGCTCTGACCAGGGCAGAGAACAGGGGGACAAGCACCTCCCTAGGTCCTCTGCCTAGTACTTCCACTATACCCCCAGATCAAAGGCTGCATCTAGTCATGCCTCCCCCGCCTGGGATGTGTGAAGCTGAGTGAGCCTTTACACTGCCCATATCAGCCGTCACCTCAGTGGGCATGGGTCAGTGTTCTGTCCTCTTCATCTCGTGCTGCTGCTGACTCTGGGGTGGAGGGAGGCTGCATTGTTGAAGGCTCTGCCACAGGTTGGCATTCT